CCCGACTGTGGGGGCGAGTGCACGGCCCTTCCCTCTCCCCCCACCACGCCCACGCTGCCAGACCTCCAGTCTGAGGGGCACGCTGCAGACCCTCCGCGGGGGCATGTTTGGAAGTGCTCCTAGTGCAGGGCGCACACCCGGCCTAGGGCCACCTGCGGCGGGCGCCACCCCCTGCCACCCACCGCAGCCCGGCCCTCGGGCCCCGCCCTGGCGCCGGCTCAGAGCTGGGGGCAGCCCCGCCAGGCCTCCTGCCCCACCACCCATGCCCCCTGGGCTGGACGCCTTGGGGCAGAGAGACAGGGAGCACTGCCTTGAGCCTCTGTGTGACCCTGTATCCACATCCATCTGGCTGTTTGTCCATCCATCCATCCCTCTGCCCATCCATCCACCCATCATCCATCCATCCACCCATCCATCCATCCATGTATCCATCCACCTGTCTGTCCATCCATCCACCCACCATCCATCCACCCACCGTCCATCCAACCTGTTACTCATCTGTTCAACTAGTGTTTACTGGGCACCTGCTTGGTGCCAGCCCCTGCCCTCCTGGTGCTCCAGGCCTGTGGCGGGGGGCGGGCAGGCAGGGAAAGAACAGGCCGTGCCCATTCCCGTGGCCGGTGCCAGGAGGGGGAGGGCCTCCCGAAAGAGGTAGTTCTCGGCTGGCCTTGATGGGTGTCCCCCATGGCCTGACCCTGTCACCGAGGCCGAGTCAGCCTGGCCGCTCTGACCGCCCCGGCTCCAGGGTTCAGGACAGGGAGGGCCCAGCCACCGGGGCTCCTTGGTGCGTCCCGCCTGCAGACAGCGCCTGCCTCCAGCCAGTCCTGGTGGGCGGCCCCGCCGCAGAGCCGCCCGGCCCAGTCCTGCGACCCAGGGAGAGAAGGGAGCCGGCGCAGGACCACCCAGGGCGGGCGGGCCCGCGGGCCGGGCTGGAGGCCCTCTGCACAGCTCTGGCTGGCGATTCCTCGCGCAGGGCGGTGCCCACCCAGCTGCAGGAGTGGGCACCAGCTGCCGCTGCCTGCTGCCGCCCCCCCCCCACCTCAGAGCTTCTGAGCCAGCCCCCCTGCCCCTGGGTGGGGGCCCCCAGCGGCATCTAGGGGCTCCCAGGCGGGCAGTTCTCGCAGCAGCCTGGAAGGCAGGGGTTCCCGGGCGGGTCGGTCAGACCCGGGGGTGGGGGCTGGATGGGGCACCGTGAGCCCCACCACCTCCGTGCGGTGCCGCTGGGGACAATGCCTCCCCTCCCCCGGTGAGCTGCAGAGGGAGCAGGCTGTTCCCAGAGTGCGGAGCGAGACGGGCTCGGTGACTCTCTGCCCGTTAATGGGTCACCCATTGTGTCTCATCCCCGGCTCCTCCCGGGAGAGACGGCCCCGGGGAGGGCAGGCCTGGGGAGCCGTGGAGAAGGGGCTGATGGAGCCCCGGCCAGGAAAGGGGGCCTGAGCTCAGGCGGGGTCACAGCAACGCCTCTGAGCCCGACGGGGAGGCGGAGCAGGGTCCCACGGGCGGGCCTGGCTGGTCATGTGGGTCCCCCCCAGCCCCGTCTGCACCCCACCTCAGCGGGCAGAGCTCAGAGCCCCACTGGGAGGCTGGTGGCGGGGCCGGGCTGAGAGGAGGCCGGCTGCCCGGGAGGTGCACAGACCGCGTCCCTGGCCCGGGGGCCGGCACTGGCTGGTCTGAGCTACCGCCCGGAGCACCTCAGGAAATGGGCCGTGTGTGTCGTCCTCGTGCTCCGGGAGTGCAGACCGAGGCTCAGAGGGGGGCTGTCCCGGGGGGTCCGAGGTGTCAGAGCTGAGACGTCCGCCTGGGGTTGGAGGGCGAGCGGACTGGCTCCAGAGGCCCCCAGGCCCTGGGCTGCGCCCCCACCCAGCCCCCTTCCCGAGGACCCTAAGGCCCCAGAGGGCTTCCTGGCAACCCGACCAGCCCTCCCAGCTCTCCATTTCCTGTTCCGAGGGCCTCTCCCAGCGCCTGGAGGGAGCCTTTGGGCCTAGGGTGAGGGCAGGGCGGGGGGAGCCTCAGGCCAGAGCTGAGCCCGGGGGTGGCGGGGCGGCTAGGCCGGCTACCCTGTACAGTTTTCAGACCGTAAGGAGTCACCACGAAATTCCATTCTCCTGACAGCAAAGACATTGAATCACTCTCGCCAAAGCCCACGGCCCCCACAAGAATGCTGTCAGGCTTTGTCCTGCCGTTCCCAGACAGGCAGCCGCACCCGGTGCCCCGCTACCCCCCAGCCAGTGGCAGGCTGGTGGCCCGTCTCTGCCAGGCCGGGCCAGTCCCTGCTCTGCAGTTGCGCCCGCCGCCACCTGGCCTTCCGTGCAATGGGCACATCTCCCCCGCTGCCCCGGGCGTCCGGGGCTGCGGAGCACAGGCTGGGAGTGCGAGTCACAGAAAGCAGGGGTGTTCTGGGGCGCAGGGGACGCAGCCCCGGGCGAGGGAGCCTTGTCGACTGGGTGGCGAGGCGGCCTGGCTGCATGCCGCTGGCCATCCAGGGCTCGCAGAACACTCAGGCCTTGTGGGTACCCCTCACTAGGGCTGCTGCAACCTCCACCCCAGGAACGGGGCGCAGCTCACACGCAACAGTCTGGGGGCTCCCCGGTGGCTGGGCTGGAGGGGAAGGAGGCAGGACTGCAGGGAACAGCCAGAAACGGGGCTGGATTAGTGACCAGGCGCAGGGACACCTGGCCGGGACTGGAACCGAGGCAGGGGGGTGCCCTGGAGGGTTTTGATTGGTTCGTGTGGGGGGGGCGGTGCACAACTGGAGCTGAGTGGCTCTGGGTGGGAGAGGAACAGACCAGTGGACTGGGGGTGAGGAGAAGGGGTTTCGGGGGAGAGAAGGCCGTGGTGGGGGCTCTGTCTCCAAGCAGTCCAGACTTGGAATGGAGGGGCGCTGCTGGTGGGGTGCGGCACACGGCGGCACCCAGACCTTCGGGCCAGGGATGGGGCTGGCCTGCAGCTCAGCAGGCTGTTTGGGGGCCAGCCGTCCAGCCATTGGGTCTGCTGTCTCTCCTGCCCACCCCCACCTCTCCAGCTGCCCGGAGTCTCCCAGGCTGGGCTCTGGCTGATGGGGGAGGGGTTTATGGCAGGAGGTGACACCGCGGGAGCCTTGTCCCTTGGGCACAGCCTGCACCATCTGCTCAGGCATCTGCCTGCCTGAGGTGGCGCCTGCTAATTACCTGGGGGGTTGGTGGCAGGAAGAGGCCTGGGAACCTCCATCCCCCAGCCCACCCAGCGCAGAGGGGCTGGGGCCTCAGAGCAAATGGGCCGCGGCCCCCTGCGCAGGGGTTTGCTAGGACCCTTTTCTCCACAGAAATCTTCGCTAAGGAAGTAGGTAAACAAATAACACATTTTGCGAAGCGCCTACTACGCTGCAGGCCAGTTCTCTCGCCGTTGGCCTTCAGGCGGAGGGATGCAAACAACTGCAAATGCCGCGGCAGGCGGAGGGAGAAGCGCGGGGTCCGCGCTGGAGAGGTAAGGGGCCAATGCGCAGAGTGAGCGCCGACGGGGACCCAGTGTAACTCGGCGGTCACGGGGGCGAGGCGGGAGGGGAGGAAGGTGCAGCCAAGCGGAGAGCCGCCCCCCCTGGGCTTCCGGACGATGCTGCAGCCGGGGGACTCGGATCCCTGTCCCACGCTGGGGGGCCCGTGGCCACTTCCGGGCCCTCACCCCTCACCCTCCGCCCGGACTGCAGGCGCGCATTCCTGCCGCCCCTGCTCGTGCGGGTGGGCGGGGCCGGCCCGTGGGAAGGGCCGGGGGTGGCGGCTGCCGCCGTGTGCCGGGGAGGGGGGCGGGGGCACAGCTGGGCCACAGCTGGCCGGAGCGCGGAGGGACCAAATGGAATGGAAGGCCGCCTTTCATCCTGTGCGGGAGGGACGACCGTAGTTTCGTCGCCACGGGGCGCCTGGAGGATTTCGGGGGACCAGCACCGCAAGGCTGGGCCAGGACTCCGAGGAAATTAGCTGGGGACTGGGGGTGGAATTTGGTACGGGTGCCTTCTCGCTACATCCTCGTGTCCCTCCCGACCTGTGGCTCAGGTGGCTGAGATCCTCCAGGATACTAAAATCCGCCCGGGCGGGTGCGGCCGGCTCTTTGGCGGGCACTGGCTCGTGGGGAGAGAGCCAGGCTTGGGGAAGGGAAGTGCAAAGCGAGGAAGCGAGCGGGGCGCTCGAGTTCAGGATTCGAGCCTCGGGGACGGCTGATAGGCTGGGTGGCGAGTGCACGTGGGGAGCTGCCGTTCCAGGAACTGGAATACGCCGCCCACGTGACGCCGGGAGGTCGCCAGCAGTCCAACTTCTGTGGACCGTCCCTGATGCCGACACGGAGTTGATCGGCGGACAAAGAAATGCTAGGAAAATCACAGCCGAGCTGCAACTCTTATCCGACTATCCATTTTTTTTTTCCCCAAAACTCTTCCTTACCTACCCTTTCTTGGCTTTGTAAAAAGGTCGACTTGGGATGAGAGGTTAAGACGGGTTTCAGGGTAGGAAGCCGCCCGCATCTGAACCAGGCGCCCACCAGGATTCAATCCTTGCCTCTGTCTCTGGGCTGGGGAGTGAAGGGCAGCGGGAACGCCGATTTTCCGGCTTCACCAGGACGTCCCGTACAGGACCCTGGAGCCCGCTGCCCCTGCCCCAGAATCCCGGTCACGGCGCCGAGGGATCCCCCCTCCGCCGGCTGGGCGCCAGCGGGCAGCCCCCGCCGGCGCGGGCCAGCCAGGGTTCCCCCTTTAAGGCCACCGGGACCGACGGGCTCAAAGCCCCACTCCCCTCGGCTGCCCGCCGGGGACAACTCCGGAGCGGCGGGTGTGTTCGGAGCACAAAGGGCGGGGCCTGCGGCGATCTCCGGTGGGTTCCCAGACCCCCACCGCGGCCCCACGTGGGCGCTGCGGGATCTAGGGGGCACACTGCTCGAGGCCCCGCCCCGAGAGGCAGTGAGCGCGTGGCGGGGGCGGAGCCTCGCGGAGGGCCCCGCCCTCGGGGCGGAGCCAGGGCCGAGAGGTTTAAGAGGGCAGGGCGCAGGCGGTGCGCCGCTGGACTGGCTGCAGGACCCGCGGCTCTCGGCGCGGGTGTGTGGGGCTGCGCTCACCCCACGATGCTCAAGCGCTGCGGCCGACGCCTGCTGCTGGCTCTGGCGGGCGCGCTGCTCGCCTGCCTGCTGGTGCTCACGGCCGACCCGCCGCCGCCCCCGGTGCCCGCCGAGCGCGGCCGGCGCGCGCTGCGCAGCCTGGCGGGCCCCGGGGGGGTGGCCCCGGTGCCAGGGCTGGAGGCGGCGCCGGCGCCCGGCGCGCTCACACGCGAGGTGCACAGTCTGTCTGAGTACTTCAGCCTGCTTACCCGCGCGCGCCGAGACGCCGGCCGACCGCCCGGGGGCGCCTCCCGTCCCGCCGACGGCCGCCTGCGGCCCCAAGCGGAGCCGCTCGCGCCCCACGACGTCTTCATCGCGGTGAAGACCACCAAAAAGTTCCACCGCGCGCGCCTCGACCTGCTGCTGGAGACCTGGATCTCGCGCCACAAGGAGATGGTGAGCCCCCGCGGCCTGGGAGGGCGGGGTGGGGGCCCAGTCCCATCCAGCCAGTGGCGGTGTCTCCCGGCGCCAGGCTGCATCTCTGTGCAGCCACCGGGAGTGTGTACCTAGAGCGGCGCCCGCCCACCCCCTTCCAGCCCAGTTTTCCTGGCATGGCCACTCTCCAGACAGCTGTGGACGTGTAGGAAGGGACCTGTCCCCGCAAGCCTCCAGGGCCCTGGATGGCACGCACCGACCTTCCACCTGCCTCCAGTGTGTGGGGCTGGTGCTCGCTGACGCTCCTCGAACTTGGGAACGCGTCAGTGGGGCGTCATGGTCCCAGACCTCCCCAAGGCAGGTCCTGCCGGGGCTGTCCTCCCTGGGGAGGAAGACTTTCCCCAGAGGTGGAATGGGGAGTGTTAGGACCCCTGGGCGCAAGGCAGGCCCCCTCCGCAGCCCGAGTCTGTGCGTGGGGCGGGGAACAATCGTTCCTGGAGGTGCTTGGAGCTGGGGTGTGGGGGTGGGCGTGCCCTGGGGAGGAGGTATGTCCCCAAAGGGAGAGAGTCCTGGGCTTGGGGTGTGTGCAGCCGCCCGCCCGCCCGGCGGCGCAGGACTCTGGAGCCGGACCTGTGCTCATGCAGCTCCTGAGCGCGGGCCTCCTGCACCAGCCCAGCAGACACACCCCGCTCTGCACTCTCCCTCCGGGCTGCAGGGGACGGTTGGCGGGGCCCGGACGGAGTGTGGGCCCTGCCAGGGAAGGGGAGGCTGGAGGGACTGGAGGGCATTTGGGGTGAGGGCGAGGGGCCCTTGAGTGGGGTGGGGGCCTGGGGGAGCCGCCACACCCCCTCCTCCCCGCTTCAGCCCTCCGGGCGGGCGGGCGGCCTGCTGGCCCTGCTGAGTCCGGCCCGGGGTCCGGGCCCTGGCGAGGTCACGGCGAGGCTTAGGGGGCAGGGTCCTCTTTGGTTCCGGCGTGGGGAGGGGGCCCTGGGAACCCCTCGGCAGCCTCCTGGGAACGCAGTGTGCTCTTCCCAGGGGCTCAGCGGGCTGGCGGGAGGGGGCGCGGGTTTTGTCTGGCGGCCGGGCCGTTAGGATTCCCAGCGCAGGGCGGCTCTCACGCCGGCCTCTTGGGCAAGGTAACAAAGCCCCTTTCTCCAGCCGAGAAAGGCCTCCGGCCTCTTGTGCGCCGCTCTGCGCTCCATGGGAACCGCCGCCGGCGCTGGCCACTCAGGTTGCCTGGCGATGAGGGGCTCCCCCACCCCCCCACCCGGCCGGTCCCTGACTGACGGTCCTGGCGGGGCTGCATCCCTGAGCCCGGCCCCTCCCCCCACGCCGCATCCCCGCTGTGTGACCTTCTGCAGCATCCAGCCGCCGCTGGGCTGCCTCCGGCCCTGAGCACGGCTGGTTTGGACTTTGGGGGCTTCCTCCAGCAGGAGGGACGGGGCCGGGGGCCGGGGGTCGCAGGTGCCAGGCCCAACCCCGCTGGGCCATCCTGAGTGAGACCGGGGGCCTCTCGGGTCCTCCTTCTCCTGGTCTCTGCAGGTGGAGGGAGGTAGCCCCAGGAGCACGCAGCGTGCGGGCGAGGCCGCACTCCCACCCGGAGTAGAGCCACGCGGGTGTCCGCCCCCGACCACTGACCCCAGCACCAGCTCCTGGGTCCCGGGGAGCAGCAGCCCCCACAGCGGAGGGTCCGCCTCCCGGCCCTGCGCAGGGTGACTCAGGCCTGTCTGAGGGAGGAGGACCCAGGAGGCCAGGGCTGCGGTGGGGAAACCCAGAGCGGCTGTGTGCGCCTGAGTGGGCATCCGACCCATGGGAGGGGCCAGGGGGGGACTTCCTGGAGGAGGTGCCCCTTGAGCTAGACTGAGAGTAGAAAATGCCCGGAAAGGGCCCGTCGGGGATCACGAGCATGGTAAGGGGGTGTTCAAGCACCTGCCAGCCACTGTGGCGACTGGGGGGGTCTGCACAGCAGGGGTCGCAGTGTGCTGGGCCAGGAAGTCCAGGAGTGGGGGCCGGGCCTTTGGCCCACATGGTCCTCCCTCACCCCACCCAGCGGCGGGCCCGGCTGCGGTGGCAGCGGCCACAATGGTCGAGGGAGAGCTTGGCATCCTGTGTTTCTCTGAATCGCAGCCCCGGGAACAATGCCGCTTCCTGTGGGTGTCCCCCTCCCCCACCCACCCTCGCCAGCCCTGCCGCCCTGCTCTTCCTCCTCCTGCCCCTGGCCAGGGGAGTGGGGAGGGGCCGGGGTGTCTGGGTCCCTGGAAGGCAAGGCGGACAGGGTTAGCACGCCCTCTGTCCCGGGGCAGGACCAGGGGCTGGAGGCTGCCCCTCTCTGGCCTCAGTTTCCCCACTGGCACACTCGGGTAGTAACAGTGCCCGGCGGGCACCTGTGAGCTCTGGTCACACCCACTGTACGGAGCGGGAATCCACTCAGCGGTGGGTGAGGCTGGCGGCCCGTCCCCCCGCTGGCTGCCCCGCCGTGGCGGTGCCCCTCCCACAGCCCCACCCTGCCAAGTGCGCCTCACCCCCCCTCGGCCTGGCTTCTCCGAACAAAGGTGACTTCAATCTCCGTAGCCTTGGGCCTGGGTTTTAGGGCGCCACCGTGCGCGGGAGAGCAGGCCTTGCTTGATCTCATTAAGAAAGCATTTTCCTTTGAATCCGGCGCCTGCACGGGCGGCCTCAGCCTCCCACGGCATTCCTGGGCTGAGATGCTGGGGAGCGGGCGGGGGGCCGGGTGCGAGTCTGTGCGTGTGTGCGGGCCGCCCTGGGGCGTCTGGCGGCTCTACGAGGAGGGCTGTGTGTGTGGAGCCTGCCACCCCCCCACCCCCGCCCCCAGCACTAAGCCGTGAGCCCCAGCTTGTGGCCACACCTGAGTGTGTGCTCAGGTCTGGGGTCAGACTGGGCCAGGAGCTGGGGCCGCCCAGGTGAGGTGGGCACCCCCCGGTGGGCCCCAGGCGCCTGGGTGTGCACAGTGGGCCAGGCCAGCACACGCCAGGCCCTCCCTGAGACCCATTTGTACACAGAAGGAAACCCAGCCCTGTCAGGCGTGGAGGTGGGGGGGTCTCCTGCAGCTGGTGCTCAGAGCAGCCCCCCGGCCCCAGGCTTTGCAGGCAGCCAGGCCTGGGTGCGCCCCGGCGGCACGCGCTGGGCAGGCTGGGCACAGAGGAAGGAACATTCCTCCCGTGTGCCGACCGGCCCAGGCGGGCGCCGGCAGCTCCTGGCCCCGCCCTGTGGCCCCCACCTCCTCCAAGGTGCGATCCTGGCAGGGACGGCCTTGTTTGGGCACAGGTGGAGCCTGGATGGGGCTGAAGCCAGGCCTGCCTCCCAGCCCTGGTTCCCTGCCCCAGCCGCCGCGGGAGCGGGTGCTGGGCGGCACGGGGTGCCGGGGGCACTGCTGCTCCGTGGGCTGGGCACGTGCGGCTTCCGCCTCCTCCCGGACCGTCGGCGTCTCCAGAGACCAGCGGCGGCTGCTTTGGCTCAGAGGTGACCTGCCCGCCGGTCACACAGCCAGGGGCGTGGGGGTCCCAGCTCGATGGCCCAGCCCCGAGGACCGCCCGGCCCGGTTAACCAAGCCAGCTGTATGGTAATGGGCACTACGGCCAGTCTCGCTTAACGCGGCCGAGTTAAGGCCTGCCCGGCGCCCCTCGCCCGCGGCCGGGACAGAGCTGGCGGACAATGCCTGGTGATTCATCCTCCCTCCAGGCCCTTTGTCCGCCAGGACTTGGCAGCCACCCAGCGGAGGCCTTTGTCCCCGAGTGACTGAGACTCGGCTTCCCAAAGCCGACCTCCTCCGCCCGTCCCCACCGCCCTCCGCCCCCTCCCCCAGGCCGGTCGCTGTGTCAATAAGGGTGTGTGCCGGGCCAGGTGCACTGGGAGGGCCTGGAACCAGTTACCTGGCGGGCGGGCGGTTGGGCGGGGCGCCCCACCTGGCTCGTGCCAGCACAGCCGCTGGGTGACCTTGGGCCCAGCTGTCGGCTGGGGGGGTGGGGTCTGCAGAAGCCCCAGCCCTGCCTCATCCCGTCTGTGCGCTCGGGGGACCAGGGCCCCGAGAGGGGTGGCTCGCGGGTGTGACTGCGCTGCAGCTGCTGAACGGCCGGGGGGCTCGGCCCCGCAGCGGCCGTGGGGGGCGGGGCTCGGCCGCCTGTTCAAGGCCATGTTTCTCCTTCCAGACGTTCGTTTTCACCGACGGGGAAGACGAGGCCCTGGCCCGGCGCACGGGTGAGCCCCGGACTGGGGAGGCGCGGGGGCTCGCTCCCCGGAGGAAGCCGTCCCCCCACCCTCTCCCCTCCGGAGAGGTCGTGGAGGCCACGGGCAGTTTACTCAACTGGTTTGCTCAGTGCCCCGCCCCACCACTTGCCCCCCCCAATTCTCATGCAAATGAGGCCCTTTCAGCTCCCGGGCCCTTTGAGCCGCTGTGGCCCCTTTGAGCAACAGGTGGCCGGTGCTGGGAAAAAGCCGCCTGAATGGGCAGGGGCGGGGCCGGCGGCGGCAGCGGGGACGGGGCTGGGCTGGGGGGGGTGGTGCCGGCGCCAGGCCTGCGTCTCACACGGGGAGGGGGCTGAGCGGGGAGCCCAGTGCGGGGCGCACTGTTCTGGAGGGACCCGAGGCGCCCGCCCTCCCGCCCGCCCCTGCCCTGCTCCCCCGGGCTGGGGCTGCCGTGGGGGCCGGCCTGGGCTGCCTTCTCTGAACCGGCTGGCACTGAGCTAGAGCCCCCTGTCCACAGGCAACGTGGTCAACACGAACTGCTCGGCCGCCCACAGCCGCCAGGCCCTGTCCTGCAAGATGGCAGTGGAGTACGACCACTTCATCGAGTCAGGGAGGAAGTGAGTGGGGGCTTCTGGCGGGCGGGGGGGGCCCTCCCGCCCCAGCGGCTCCCGCCCCTGGCCCCGCACGGCGGACCCCGTGCCCCTCGGGGCCCTGACGGCCGGCCGGCCCGCCCCCAGGTGGTTCTGCCACGTGGACGACGACAACTACGTCAACGTGCGGGCCCTGCTGCGCCTACTGGCCAGCTACCCCCACACGCAGGACGTGTACATCGGCAAGCCCAGCCTGGACAGGCCCATCCAGGCCACGGAGAGGGTCAGCGAGAACAAGATGGTGAGCCGTCTGCCCGTGGGTGCCCGAGACAGACCAGCCGGGAGGAGGCGGAGGGTCTCTCCGGCCGGGGGTGGGGGCGGGGGTGGGGGTCTCACCCCGTCGCCCCACATTGCAGCGTCCCGTCCACTTCTGGTTCGCCACGGGCGGAGCCGGCTTCTGCATCAGCCGCGCGCTGGCCCTGAGGATGAGCCCCTGGGCCAGGTGAGTGCCCGGGAGCACAGGGTGGCCTGCTGGGCGGGCCGGGGGGCCCTAGGCCATGGGGTCCCCCCACGTGGGGTCTGGCTTTGTTCACAGCTTGGGGGCGGGTGGCCCCGGCCTCACGTGCAGGCTGAGCTGCAGTCCCCAACACGTCCCCCTCCTGCCAGCAGGCACCGGGGTGTTAGCACCCAGGGCCAAGGGCCACTGAGTAGGGCTCCTTGCTGCACCAGCAACTCCCGACTCCCAGAAAGTCACCGGGCTGGCGCAGAGCGGGGAGCCCTCAACGGGGGGCGGGGCTCAGGGAGGGAGGGGAGAGCTGCAGGCCAGGGGGAGCCCCTCAGGGACCCGGACGTGGGCGGGGCCGGGCCCCCTCGCGCCGTGCGGCCCCGGGCTGGCGGGGTCCTGCCCAGCGCCCAGCGGGCAGCGGGCTCCCACCTCTGCTCACGTTGCAGCCCTTCGCTCCCGCAGCGGGGGCCGCTTCTCGAGCACGGCCGAGCGGATCCGGCTGCCGGACGACTGCACGGTGGGCTACATCGTGGAGGCGCTGCTGGGCGTGCCCCTCGTCCGCAGCGGCCTGTTCCACTCCCACCTGGAGAACCTGCAGCAGGTGCCGGCCTCGGAGCTCCACGAGCAGGTGCGCCCGCCCGGACAGCCCAGCGAGAGGGCGGGTGGACAGCGGGGCTCGCTGTGGGAACGCGGCGGAGCCCAGGGAGGGCCACCCGGACCCCCCAAGGTCCCCGCCAGCACAGAGCCCCTGGGCCCTCTTGCCCATCTTCCTGCGGCCTGCCTGCAGCGCCACACGCCTGCTCTGTGGCTCCCGGGTCTTCCCCTGCGTCGGTGGGCACTCTCGCCTGGGTGCGTGGAGCAGGTGGGGGGCACGGTGCCACGTGCCTCGCTGGCCCCCCGTTCAGAGCCACGGGCCCAGCCCCGGGCAGAGTGGGGCGCTGGGCCCCGGCCCGGCATCACCGTGCCCCCCCCCCACACACAGGTGACCCTGAGCTACGGCATGTTTGAGAACAAGCGGAACGCGGTCCACATGAAGGGGCCCTTCTCGGTGGAGGCCGACCCGTCCAGGTGAGGATGCCGAGGCCCGCGCCAGGCAGGGGCGCACCACGGAGGGGCGGTGCCCCGGGGGCCTGGCGGAGGTGGAGCTGGGTGTCGCTCTGTGTTCTGACTGCAAAGCGTGCCCCGCCCCCCGGACCCCTGCTGGGGCGGAGGCGGCCCCTCCCCCTGCACGGACCAGCCCCGCACTCTGTCCCCACAGGTTCCGCTCCATCCACTGCCACCTGTACCCGGACACGCCCTGGTGTCCCCGCGCCGCCGTCTTCTAGCTGCCTCCGCCGAGACCCCGTCCCCAGGCGCCCCTGGTATCCAAAGGGCCCGGGGACCCCCATTGTTGTGCCCCCCGGTCCCGCTGTTTGCGGCTCCCGGGGCCGTGCCTCCGTCTGCCCGTGTGCTGGGTACCCTGTCTGCGTCGCAGACCGCTGGCCACCCCGCTCTGCCCCCGAGCGGGCCCTGGGCGGGCTCACGTGAGAGGCTGCTGCTCTGAGGGCAGCGTGACGTTGCTCTTGTGGGGTCTCCGGGCTGCCCTGCCCCCCTGTGCTGGGCCGGCACTCGCCTCTGAGCCCCCGGGACAGCTGAGTCCTGCAAGAGGCTGGGTTTGGGGGGCGGCGGCCCAGTCTCCTCCCGTTCCCGCTGAGCTCTGGCCTGGGCACCGTGGCTCAGGGTGACAGCGGCCCCCATCCAGCCCGGTAGCCCCACGGAGCCCCCCGGGCCCCACCAGTGGCTGTGCGGCCCGGCCCGGGGTCCGGTGGCTTCCCCAGCCCTCTGGGCGGGGGTCTTCCCAACCCGCTCTCTTCTTTGTCTCCCCGCGAGGGGAGCCAGAGCCGAGCACGCTCTCTCCTCCCCAGAGCAGAGAGAGAGTCGCCCACAGTGGGCGTGCCTGTACATACCGTGACAGTATTTTTTACTGTGCTTGTTTTTCAAAAGCGGGTGAGTGAAAAGGTGTTTTCGTCTCTGTTTTCGGGGCGCGGGGGAGGGTGTTGTCTCTTTTCTGTGGACCAGAAGAAGCAGAAGTCACACTTGGGATCGCCTCTGTGGCTGCAGCCGAGACGTCCACGCCCCGTATGTGTGTGTGTGTGTGTGTGTGTGTGTGTGTCCCGGCACCCACTCTCCCCGGCGACCTGCCTCCCGCCGCCCGCTGGGCGCACCTGGCCCGGGCGTGTGTTCTGTCTCCTGTTGATCCTTCTGCGAAGACAAAGCGAGGAAAGCGGACAATAAGGGAAAAGTTCTCAGGGAATCCTAGTGTGGTTGCTACGGTGACGTCCTTTGCTGTGAATAAAGGTGCTCTTCGGGCCATGTTCTCGGGGGGTCCTGATCCGTCTGGGGTCTGCGCGTGGTGGGGAGGTGCGTAGAGTGGGGGCTGCCTGGGCCTGGCCCGGGACCCCTGACCTGGCTCACACCCGTCCGCGTGCCCACAGAGGCCACATTACTTGTCCCATTTTGCAGATGGGGAAGCTGGCGCTGGGAGTGGGTGGTGTCCGAGGTCTGGCAGCTGGGGTGGTGAAGAGCTCAAACTTGGGGGCCACGTGGGCCCCAGACCTTGGCCGCCCCCCTGGCCCGACCTCTCCGAAAGAACTCCACCCCTGTCCCCCCTCCCCCAAGTCCCGGGAGCTGGGCAGGGACTCAGGCCGCCCCTTTCCTTCAGAGAGCAGCCCTGAGGGTGCTCTGCACCTCGCAGCTGGGGAATTCCCTGCCCACCCCCCCTGCAGGGACGGGGCAGCCCTCACTTCCTCTGCCTCCCCCTGCCGCCCTGGGGGCTCTGCCCAGCGAGGGCCTCTGCTGCTGGGCTCCCAGCTCCTTCCTCCTGCCTCCACCCTACCCCAAGCCCCCTCCACCCAAACATCAGCGTCGTGGAGAGCCATCTCCAGCCCCCACCCTGACCCACAGGGGCAGAACACCAGCCCAACCCCCGCTGGCCCCAGCTCTGGCTCCCAGCCCTGGCTGGTGGCTGGCCCCGGCCCCCGGCTTGCCGGGGACAGGTCTGAGTCCGTCCACAGAGCGTGGCTTCCAGAGGCCGTGGAGCGACGGGGACAGCGGGAGGGAAGGGTGCCCTGGCTGCTGCACAGAGGCCCCTGTGTCTCTGGGTACCACCGTGTGCCCTGCCAGGGGTGGGGGCGGGGCGCAGCCACGGCCACATCTCGGGGGACGACGAGGGGAAGTGACACAGCAGCCCGGGTGCGGGCAGAGGCCCTGGGCCCCCTTCCTGCCTGGGTGAGTCAGAGGTGCCTGTTGAGGGTAGGACTGGGCCCCGCGGCCGCCTCTGGCGGTTGGCATCTCCCTGGCCGTGGAGCGGGCGGGGCCCTGGGGGCAGGTGTGGTGGGTGCAGCCCTCGTCAGGGCTGGGGCTGTGCCAACTGTCCCTGTGTGTGGGGGGCACTGGGTTGGGACCACAGAGCAGAGGACAGGGCGAGGTCCTTCCCCGGCCAGAGCCTTGGCCTCCCCATCTGAGCAGTGGGGGCAAATGTAAAGGCGGCTGAGTTGCTGGTGCCCTGGGCCTGGCAGGGTCACAGAGGGGCCCAGGCCAGTGGCCCTGCGGCCCTGCCTTCCTCTAATCGAGAAGCTGAGGAGTGGACAGGAAGGGAAGCTCTCCGTCCTCTGAGGGGGAAGCAAGGCCTCCCCTGGCAGATGAGTCATGGCGCCAGAGGAGGCCACCTCGGGGTGCCCCACCCTCGGGGCCTCACGGCCCCCAACCCACACACACTGAGTGGTGGCCGGTTGGACAGGGTCCTGGCTGGGCCGAGGGACTCCCTGTCCCCCAGCCGGGCCCCTCCCCAACTGCTGGTCAGTTGTAGCCTTTCAAAAATAAAACGTGAAACCTCCATGCCCAGTGGGTGGGGGCAGGACCGCTGGCATTCACCCCCCACCAGCCGGCTTCTGGGCTGCCCTGTCTGGAGGGACTGCGGGGTGTCAGGGCGGGGCCCTCTCCGCTGAGTCTGAACTTCCTTCCCCCTGGGTCGACGTGACCAGCTTCCCCCACGAGGCGTCTGAGCTGGAGCAGGGAGGGCCCTGCCGAGCCGCGGTGCACAGAGGGGGGCACCCCAGGTCGCAGGCCCCCAGCATAGGTGGGCGGGTGGTCCCCGTCCAGCAAGAGGCCTGCAAGGCTGGGGGACGCTGGCCCAGGTGGCCCTGCCAGAAGCAAGCAGGGCCTTCCGTGGTGCGAAGCTGGACCCCGCAGGCAGCTGTGGCCTGTCCTACCCTCTCTCTCTGAGGCTGGGACCTGATGGTAACTGGGGGGCCAGGGCCAGCTGCACCCTTCAGCTGGACCAGGTGGCGGTCCCACTGCTGCCCAGGCCTGTGTGCCTCGCCCCAGCCTCACCAGCCGCACCTGGAGGGGTCCCCCGCTGTGCCCTCTCTGGGCCCTGGGCTGCACACACGGGAGGCACGGGGGGTGTGGCTAGGAGGCACCCAAGCCCCTGGAGGTCACCATGCTGAGTCTGGGGGCAGGGAGCCCCACACAGCCCAGCCTGAACCCTAGGCCTCCCGGTCCGCTTCTGCATGGCACAACGTGGACCTTGGGCGCCAGCTGCTGGCCAGAGGTGGTGGCTCCTCTGCCCGCCCGAATCCAGCTTTCCCAGGGGTCAGGGTGCAGGTCTACCGCAGGGCCCCCAGGGGTGGGGCGGGGAGGCCCTTGCCGCAGGCCGCAGCCCTGTCCTTGCTCTTAACAACCTACATCTCGGATCCTTTTTTTTGAAGAAATTTTTTATAATAGTATTTTATTGATCATGCTGTTACAGTTGTCCCATTTCCCCCCCTTATTCCCCTCCGCCCTGCACACCCTCCCACCATCACTCCCCCGCCCTTAGTTCATGTCCGTGGGTCGTACGTAGGACTTTGGCTTCTCCATTTCCTATACTATTTTTTTTTATAATTAACCCCATCTTTTTAAAGAGATTTTATTTTATTTTTAGAGAGGGAAGGGAGGGAGAAAGAGAGAGAAACATCAGTGTGCGGTTTCTGGGGGCCGTGGCCTGCAACCCAGGCATGTGCCCTGACTAGGAATTGAACTTGCGACACTTTGGTTCGCAGCCCGTGCTCAATCCACTGAGCTACGCCAGCCAGGGCTTGTTTTTTAAAGATTGATTTTATTTATTTAGAGAGAGAGAGAGAGAGAGAGAGAGAGAGAGAGAGAGGAGAAGGAAAGGAGGAAGAGAGGGAGAGAAACATCAGTGCGTGGCTGCCTCCCATGCGCCAACTGGGGACCTGGCCTGCAACCCAAACATGTGCCCTGACTGGGAATCGAACCAGCGACCCTCTGGTTCTCAGCCCGTGCTCAATCCACTGAGCCATACCAGCCCGAGCCCCTATAATATTCTTAACCTGCACCTGTCTATTTTCTACCTACCACTTATGCTTCTTATTCTCTGTACCTTTTCCCCCCTTCTCTCCCCCTCCCCATCCCTGCTGATAACCCTCCAGGTGATCTCCATTTCTGTGGTTCTGTTCCTGCTCTTGTTGTTTGCTTAGTTTTTGTTTTTGTTTTAGGTTCAGTTGTTGATAGTTGTGAGTTTGTTGTCATTTTATGGTTCATATTTTTGATCATCTTATTTTTCTTAGATAAGTTCCTTTAACATTTCATATAATAAGAGCTTGGTGATGATAAGCTCCTTTAACTTGAACTTATCTGGGAAGCACTTTATCTGCCCTTCCATTCTAAATGATAGCTTTGCCGGATAGAGCAATCTGGGATGTAGGTCCTTGCCTTTCATGACTTGGAATACTTCTTTCCAGACCCTTCTTGCCTGCAAGGTCTCTTTTGAGAAATCAGCTGACAGGCTTATGGGAACTCCTTTGCAGGTAACTGTCCGCTTTTCTCTTGCTGCTTTTAAGATTCTCTCCTCTTTAATCTTGGTTAATGTAATGATGATGTGCCTTGGTGTGTTCCTCCTTGGGTCCAACTTCTTTGAGACTCTCTGAGTTTCTTGGACTTCCTGGAAGTCTATTTCCTTTGCCAGATTGGGGAAGTTCTCCATCATTATTTTTTCAAATAAGTTTTCAATTTCTTGCTCTTCCTCTTCTCCTGGTACCCCTATGATTAGGATGTTGGGACGTTTAAAGTTGTCCTGTTGGTTCCTTAGCCTTTCTTCTTCTTCTTCTTCTTTTTTTAATTCTTGTTTCTTAATTCTGTTCTGTTTGAATGCTTCTTTCTTCCTTCTGGTCCAAAGTGTTGATTTGAGTCCCAGTTTCCTTCCCTTCACTGTTGGTTCCCTGTATATTTTTCTTTTTTTAAAGATTTTGTTTATTTTCAGAGAGAGGGGAAGGGAAGGAGGGATAGAAATATCCATGTGTGGTTGCTTCTGATGCGCCCCCTACTGGGGACTGGCCCTCAACCCAGGCCTGTGCCCTCACTGGGAATCAAACCAGCAACCCTTTGGTTTGCAGCCTGTGTTCAATCCACTGAGCTATACCAGCCAGGGCCCTGTATATACATTTTTATATTTCACTTTTCATAGCCTTCACTTTTTCCCCTATTTTCCCACCATACCCAATCATTTCTGTGAGCATCCTAATTATCAGTGTTTTGAACTCTGCATCTGATAGGTTGGCTATGTCTTTATCTCTTAGTTCAGGGGTGTCAAACTCATTGTCACCGGGGGGCCAGACCAGCTTCGAAGTTGCCTTCAGAGGGCCGAGTGCAATCTTAGGACTGTAGAAATGTAACCATTTCTTAACTAGGGGCAAGGAGCTCGGGCACTGCTGCCAAGTAGAAACAAGGTGGGGGGCTGGATTCGGGCCACGGGCCTTGTGCTTGCCACCTGTGGCTTACTTGAATTTTTTCTGGAGCTTTGATCTGTTCTTCACTTGGGTCATTTTTATTTATTTATTTTTTTTGTCTCGGTGCACCTGTTACGTAGTAAGGGGCGGAGCCTTAGGTGTTCACCAGGGCGGGGCAACCTGCATTGTTGGGAGGTGGTGCTGTCTGTGGGGATCAGTAACGCCTGCTCCGTTCTCTGTCGGCTTTCAGTCACTGCCCCCACTTCCCACAAGCAAATGGGCCCTCCTGGTGCTGGTTCCCGGGTGGGTGGGTTTGTGTACGTTCTAGGACCCTGTGGGTCTCCCCAATAGACTATCCTGAGAAGCTGGGAGTTTCTCCTGCCACCGCAACCCCCACAGGTGTTTTCAGTCCGAGGTCTGAGGCTTTATTCCCCAAACTGGAACCCTGGGTAGTGGGTCTGTCTCGCTCCCCAGTTGTTCCTCCTGATTTATCTGCACATGAATGTGGGACTGCCCAGTCCGCAATCCACCACCTTGCTGGGTCAGCCAGCTGCCGCCTTGCTGCCCATCCTCTGCCCACTGCCCATCTGCACCCCTCCTACTGTGTGGATGAATGTTTCTTTAACTCCTTTGTTGTCGGACTCCCATATAGTCTGATTTTCTGGCAGCTGTGGTTGATTTTTTTTTTTTTAATTTGTCGTTGTCCTTCTTTTGGTCATGCGAGGAGGCGCAGTCTATCTCCCTACACCTCCATCTTGGCTGGAAGTCCTCTAAAGAAATTTTAAAAAAAGGTTTTACTTATTTTTAGACAGAGGGAAAGGGAAGGAGAAAGAGAGGGAAACATCAATGTGTGGTTGCCTCTCACACGCCCCCTACTGGGGACCTGGCCTGCAACCCAGGTGTGTGCCCTGACTGGGAATCGAACCAGGGACTCTTGGATTCATAGGCTAGCTCTCAACCACTGAGCCACACTAGCCAGGGTGGATGTTTGTTATATTTCTGAAAGCACTGTGCATTGTTCGGCTCAGCTTTTGTTCACCCTGTAGCTTAAAATTCACCCTATTTCTGGTACCCCGTCTTGCTCTTTTTACAAATAATATTTATTTATTTTTTAGAGAGGGGAAGGAAGAAGAAAGAGAGGAAGAGAAACATCGATGTGAGAGAGAAACATTGATTGGCTGCCTCTCCAACTCTGCTTTTAGAGTTCCTTCCCCTTTCCCAACATGCTTTACGGAGCTGCAGGCACTTCCATACCAAGCACCCTAAAACAGGCAGGCAGCCCTGGCCCGTGTGGCTCAGTGGATTCAGCGTCGGCCTGCGAACCAAAGGGTTGCCAGTTCGATTCCCAGTCAGGGCACACGCCTGGGTTGCTGACCAGGTCTCCAGCTGGGGGCATGTGAGAGGCAACCAGTCGATGTTTCTCTTTCACATTGACGTTTCTCTTCCTATCTCCCTCCCTCCCCTCTAATTAATTAATTAATTAATTAAAGAAACCCAAGTGGGCCGACCATATTTCTCTGATGTGGAGTGACGAGCAGCAGCTGCCAGCCTCATGGCACGGGGACACTGCAGGGGCTGTGACTCTGTCTCTGGCCCCAGCAGCCCGGGTCTGCAGCCCAGCCCTTGCGCCGACCAGCTCCCCCGCCCGAGTGCGGGGAGCCTGTCTGACCTCGGTGACCTGTAAAGACGCTGGCACCAGGCGCTCCTGGGCTTTCCCTTGGTCACCCGGGAGGGAACGCGAGAGGTGAACAGGCAGCTGCTCTGTTGTCCTGGGTTTCCCGTGACCGTGATGAGTGCGAGGTCTCTGCGATTTCCGGCCTCGGAGACCGGGGATTGTTCCCGCCTCGTGGTGACACAGCCTATTCTGGCCCATGTGTGAACCACTGTCGACAGTTCTCGGTGTACCACTCAAAGCATCCCAGCAACTTTTCTGGAAGGTCCTCGGCAGGACTCGGAAACCCTTGCGTTTCTGCCGGCTGACTGAGGGAGCCCCGGCCCGCGGGCACCCCGTGCCCGCCGCCCCCGGCTCCGGCGGTGGGCACTCCAGTCCTGCCGCTGGCGCAGCGGCGGTTCTCGCGTTCCCGAATGGAAGGCGGTCTGCGTGACCCTGAGACCCAAAGACAGAGGGACAGTCTTTCCGGAGCTGGATCCCTGCCGCTCATCGGAAGGTCTCGGAAACGCGAAGTTCCATTTCCTGTTCACGGGCCCCCGAGCGGCGCTCCGAAGCAGCGGAGGCGGCCAGACGAGCCCCGTGCACGCGCCCCACAAACTTTCCAGCCGTCGGGGCGTTGGAGTCCCTCCTTGGGAACCAGTCTCGGAACCAGCCGCTCGTTCTCTTTTCCTTCCAGAACAACCACGCTCCCCACCTCTCGTGCCCGCTCTGCCCCTCGTGGGGCAAGACTCCCGTGGCGCCTTGTTCCTCCATTGCTTTCAGTTCGGCCGGGAACTCCGAGGTGGGACCCCCCGCCACCCGGGTCCCCCCCCCCCCGCCACACAGACCTCCAGGCCTAGAAATTACTCAAGAAATGTTTGAGGGAATAAAGCAAACTTTCCAACAGAGAGCATGGTCTTCCTCCCGTCCTGCACATTGGAATCATGGGGGGGGGGGGCTGGATTTTTTAAAAACCCCAAATCCAGGCCACACCCCAGGCGGATTACATCAGGACCCTGGGAGAGCTCCAGGCTGAAGGCTCTCCAGCAAGACCCAGAACCACGGGAATCCGGGCTGTGTGGCCACAGGCTGCCTGCCGTTCTTGGGTAACGTCTCACTTCATGCTCGTATAATGCTTTACAGTGTCCAAGGTGCAGTGTGATTTTGAACATTTCATAGAGATCTTACAGTCTCCTGGGGGTGGAGATACGTAGCAAACAATACCAAGAAGGTGGCCGTGCGTGTGTGCGTGGCTGGGGAGGAGAGGGGCGTCTCTGGGAGCCGGGGGGAGTGCTGAGATGTCATTGGAGGAGCAGCAGCTGAAGGGAAGGGGGGGCGCGAGGAAGCGACGTGAGATGGGTGTGCGTGTGGCAGGGCCCCGCAGTGTCCCACTGTGACCTGGGAAGTCCGATATTTGCCCATCTGGAGAAGGGGGACAGAGGTTCCTGGGTTACCGGGTGTGTGTGTGTGGGGGGGGCTCGGTGAGTGTGCCAGCTCACACGGATGTCCTGGGGTGCTGGGGCCAGAGAGCCTAAGTGTGGTGCCCTGTGAGGCAGGGCATCCAGGTACTCGGGGACCCTCCCTAGGACCTGGTGACGGGCCTGGGCTCCTGGGTGCCGTAACTCCTGGGGGTCCGCAGGCATCCCGGATGGCAGGCCCAGGCGCTGCCTTTGGAGACGAGGCCCTCCTGATGGAGCACCACCGACCGCTCCAGCTTCCTCTTCTGCCACTGCTGCCCCTCCCGCCTCGGCTCAGGAGACCGCGGGCGTTTGCAGCTCTTCCAAGCCGCAGAGCCTTGGCGCCCCTCCTTCCTCCTCTGCCTCGAGGACCCGCTCGGACTTCCCCCCCCCGCTTCCCCCCCCGGCTCCCTCCCCCCGCAGGGCCGGGACCCTCATCTGCAAAGCCCCCGCTGCCTTGCTCGGGCACAGCCAGGGCGCTTCCTCCATCGCGGTCCCCGTTCCTCCGCGCGCCCCCAGTATCCGGAAGGCACCTGGCGCACCTTCTTCCCCCGAGCACCCAGCGCAGGCCGGCCTGACCTCCAGCGGCGGCCGGCGGGCTTGAGTGGGTGAGGGAGCGGAAGGTGAGCGCCGGGACCGAGGAGCGAGAGCGAGTGAGCCCACGGCGGACGCGGGGCGGGGGTGGAGGGGAGGGCGGAGGGGCGAGGAGAGCGGGGCCGGTGCGCGCGTAGACGAACGAGGATGTGACGCATCGCAGGCGAGGGGGTGAGCGAGTGCCGGGTGGAAGGTGACGGAGCGAGGGCGCGTGGGGAGCGGGCGCCGGCGGCGAGCCCGCGCGGAGGGGCGGCGCGTGCACGACGGCAGGAGCGCGCGCCCGTCCGGCCCTGGGCCGCGTGGCCCGGGCGGGGTCGAACAGCCCGGGCGAGGGCGACTGGAGGCGGTGTGGGCGGGGCCGCAACGCCTTCGCGAGAGACAGTGGGCGGGGCCAGACGGCGCGGGCGGGACGTGGCGCTGGGTGGGCGTGGCGAGGCGGGGGGTGGGCGTGGCGAGGCTGGGCCGCGGCCAGGAGGGCGGGTGCGGAGGAAGTCACGTGTAGCGCGCTCACATGACTGGCGGTGCGATGGACCCGCTGCCCGCGGCGCCAGTCGCGGCGGCAGCAGAGGCGGAAGCCGACGAGGAGGCGGACGCACCGGCGGCAGGTAAGGCGGGCGGGCGGCGCACCTGGGCCCGCGCGGTGACCCCGCGGCCCTCCGCTCACTTTCTGCCCCGGGCGCCCCGCGCCCTGCCGGGTCTCCTCTCCCACTGCTAGGGGCGCGCGTCGCCCCGCGGACTCGGTGTGCCGCCTCCGGTCCCGGGAGTCGAGCACCCGTCCGGGTTTGCACTTCGCCGCGCGCTCCTGCCCGCGTCTGCCCGGGTCTGTCCCGACCCCTCCGGGTAGCGGGCCCGCCGGCCCGCCCCACGCTTCCTGCGCAGCCGCGTGGGCACAGCGCCTGGACCTCCGGGGCCTCGGACAAGTAATTTGGCCGCTCAGGACTTGGGTGTTTTGTATAAATCGTCACATTTGTCCGTAGAGGCGTGCAGGAGGCTTGGCTTTTCGAGGGTGCCCCGTTTAAATGTAACCCCCTGCAGTCCCGTAACTGCAGAACGCATGGAGGTGGGTGTTGGTGTGACTTACTGCTTCCCCCTGGCAGGGGGCACGGAGTTGGGGGACTCTGCTTGGGGGCTCTGGGAAGGTTCGCCCCGAGGAGGCCACGCTTGAAGTGAGTTCTGGGGGCTCTTGGTTTATTCATTGAGGAGGAGTGGCCTCGAAGCTGCCTGGGCGCATGTGTTGGGGGGGGGGGTGCACTGTCCCGGATTGGCGTAATTGACAAGAAGACCCCGGGCCCGCCGAAGTCTGGACGGCGGTCCCCCCTCCCCCAGCCCGCTTCGGTCTTCAGTTATTTTTCTTTTCCCTTGGAGCGGAGTGCGGGGAAGCATGTGATCGCTCTCGCCGTTGGGCAGAACAGCGTGTTCCCGAGGTCACAGGTTGCAGCCCAGTGTGGCCCAGTCGGCCCCACCTGTACCAGGGCCCCAGACCGGACCTCTTGGCTGGGGCACGCTTGGAGTCGGGGCGGGTGGGGGGGCGTGACTGGGTGGGAGTGCTCTTTGCCCCCGGCATTTCAGGTCCTGGGCGTGGTGGTGGCTGGGGGGGTCTCTTCTTGCAGGCGGAGGGGCTGCACTGGGTGTTTCCTGGAGGACCCAGGCACCCGCTGCCCCTGTTAGGGTGTCAGGTTAGGACGCCCTCTCCCGGCGTCCTAATGCTGTGCGACTTCCCGGGACTTCCCGGGCGTTGGCCTTCCTCGGGGCCACAGCGATGTTGTTAGGTGTGTTCACGGAGTGGACGTTGTAGCGCTTCTCCATCTGGGAGTGCTTTCCTGCACCTGGGAGAGTCTCCAGGTGGGGTCCGGGGGCCGGTGGGCGTGGCCAGTCCCTTCATTCCGCCTCGTTCCGCCTCCTTCCTCCCTGTGAGGTGGGCAGGTGAGGCCGCGGTCACTCCTTTCTGCACTGGGGAAACTAACGCCAGAGGCGGCGGGTGTGCCCAAAGAGGGCCCCTCGAAGGGGCCTGCCGTGGCGGGCATATCGGGTCGGGGGCTGGGGGTGGGGTCCGAAAACCTGAGCCTTGGAGAGTGAGTTTTCGGCCCTCGCTGGTGTGGCTCAGTGGGTTGAGTGAGTGCCGGACTGCGGACCGAAGGGTGAGTTTTGTCAGGGACGTATGTGTGTCTCTCTCACTGGAGCGCAGGTCGATTTGGGGTTGTGCCCTTACAGCTGGCACCCATCGTTAGTATTGATTGCGGGGACCGGAAGGCCTTGATCTCTGCAGCCCCTCGGGGTTGGCGGGAAGAACGACCGTGTTCCCTGCGGACTCCAGCACTGGTCACCTGTCAGTCTTTTGAAGCTTAAGTTGCGACGGCAGCTCCCTTCCTAAGAGTTCAGCTTTTCATTGTGCCATTCTCGGACAGGCACGGCTTCTTTGAAAGAAAGGACATCACAGGTGAAGTCGAAGTCTCGCCCCGGCTGCGGTCACCCCTCGTGCTTTCCCGGCGCAGACCGCTGTTGCCAGTGTGGGACGGAGCCTTCCAGTTGTGTCTTCACGGTTTACTCGTGGGCGCACTGCGGAAGCACCCACCCCCTGGTCCACGCTGCCCGCCTTCCCCTGGGGCGGTGTGTCAGTTTCCCTCGGCGGCTGGAACAAGTCACTGCCCACGTGGTGGCTTGAACAACACAGATTATTCCCACAGAGTTCCCGCTGCTGGTCCGCAGTGGGAAACAGGCTTCCCTGGGCTGCGGCCCGACCAGGGGAGGCCTGGCGAGGCCCCTGTTTCCCAGTGTCCTCGGGAGTCCCTGGCGGCCGGTACCCTTCCCCCAGCAGCCCCGGGCTGTGTCTTTCTCAGGCTGTCATCTCTGGTCCTCCCTGCCTCGTTCCCTGTTCCACGCGGAAGGGCTCCTGGGGCTGCCCCAGGCCCACCCACCGGTGTAGCCCACAGCCCCCGTTCCCCCTTGCCGCGTAGCCCCGCAGACTCGCAGGTCCCAGGGAGGAGGCGGCGGATGTCTTGGGGGTCTGTTATAGTGCCGACCACGAGTGGATGGGGACCCCGGGGATGGGATTGCCGGACCACAGGGCTCGCACGCTCTTTGCCTTAACGGATGCCGACAGGTTACCCTCTGGGGCGGCAGTGAGCAGTTTGTGCGCCGACTGGCCGTGTAGGAAAAGCACCCTTTCCCGTAACTTCGAGAACACAAGATACCATTTTTCATTTTCTTTTTTTAAAAAAACAGCGCTCTTTCTTTTCTTTATTTCTTTTCTTTTATTTTTTAAAAGATTTTATTTGTTTATTTTTAGAAAGGGAAGGGAGGGAGAAAGAGAGAGAAACATCAATGTGTGGTTGCCTCTCATGCATACCCCACTGGGGTCATGGCCTGCAACCCAGGCACGTGCCCTGACTGGGAATCGAACCTGTGACACTTTGGTTCGCAGGCCACGCTCAAACCACTGAGCTATGCCAGCCAGGGGCTTATTTTCTTACTCTTATATGTTTTTTTTTCAATACCGTTTTCTAAACTTTCTTCCGACTCAGAAAACTTAAGGAAGTGTTTTGTTTTGGTTTTGGTTGACATTTCCTTGACTCGTAATTCACACTGAGGTTTAGTTTCTTGTGACAGTTTCCCGTTGGTTGCCGCTCTGGACCGACTGCTGCTGTCTTTTGCCCATTTTCGGAGGGGATTGTCTTTTCCTCACTGACAGCAATTTTCTGTATTTTGGACACGAGAAAACCTTGGTGGGTTCTCTGTTGGAATTATAACTCTGAAAATAGCTGCCTGGCCAGAACGCTCTGTTCCCGGACCGTGCGGGATGAGTGGTCACTCCGGAGCCTCTCCGAGGTTGTGAACTCGGTGGCTGGGACTCGGGACATGGGTGGCACAGACTGTGGGCGACACTTGCTGGGTGGCCTGGTCTGCTGTGTTTGGGCAGCGACACCCACGGATAGGGCCACATGGGCCACAGTGCGGCCCCTCGCCCTGCTCCCCGCGACCCTGGCCACCGTCGCTGGGCTCTTACGGCTTGGGAGGAGCGGCCTCGCTTCTCTTAGAGCGGCTCCTCCCGTGGCATTCCGGTCATTCCGTCGGCCAGGCCGTCTGTGTCACAAAACCCGCAAAACCCCCGATGCTTCCTGGTGGTCTGTGGGGCGAGGCCTGACCTCTGCCCGCCGCCCTGGTCTGCACAGCGGCCCGCCCCGTCAGCATGCCCGGGGACCAGCATGCCCGGGGACCGGCGTGCCCTCTGCTCCCCAGCGCCCCCCTGCCCGCCCCCCTGCCCGTGCACGCGCGGCAGAAACCACTGAGCTGTCACTGAAGGCGAGTGCATCGGACTGTGATGGACTCGCAGCTCCAAGTTCTGCTCGCATTCAGGCGAAAACCCCCGTGCACCGCCCTCCCCCACGCCCGCAGCTCCTGGGGCTCTGCGTCCCGGCACCTGGCGCGACACCTGCTGCGGAGAAAGGGCTCCGGTGCTGCGGTGGGGCCGCATGCTGGCCGTGGCTCATGGTAAGGGTGGCAGCACACGGTCGGTGGTGACGGGGGTGTTATTTAAGTGTGTGTTGTTGGTCTTCACACTCTGTGTCACACACACACACACACACACACACACACGCTTCGCAAGGCGCAGCGTGTCGTTCCAAAGAAAGAGGAACCAGCGCCGAGGCGCCGTCATGCAGAAGGCGTTCGGGCAGAATCTGTGGTCAGCCGGAAGGGGGTGGGTTCCGGGCCGGGGAATTCTGTGCCGTGTTGGTTTTTCCATCCAGAGGAGAGGGCCGTGCAGAAGAGATGCCGGCGCACGGCGCCGGCCGGGGGGGGCAGGGGTGCACAGGGGGGACTGGCCCGTCCTCAGCCTTTGCGTGGTTTTCCTCCAGAAGCACCGGAGTTCAGGGGCGACCTTCTGTGTGAAAATACTGGGGTTGACACACCACCTCACCTGTCTCACAGTAGGGAACGGCCCGGCCAGCCCGGCAACCTGACACATTAGGGGGAACGTGCCAGTCTCCCAGCCTGGCCCACCCACAGAGGTGGGTGCGAGGGGCCCTGTTCCGAAACAGTGCTGCCGAAGTGTGGGGCCCTCTGTCCGCCGCCCCCCCTCCCCCAGTGCAGCGCCTGCCTCTGCCGTGTCTGCCACCTCTGTCTGAGCGTGGGTGGTGCTGGCGTGTCCAGCCGTGTCGGGCCGCTGGCACCAGCAGGAGGGAGGATCCAGACGGTGGTGCCGGTGGTGCCGGTGGGATGGCACCTGGGAACCCCACCTGTGTTCGGAGCGTCCCCCTGTGGGACCACCAGCCGGGGAGGAAAGCCAGGTGGCTCCTGACTTGGCACAGCTACCTCGCAGCGCGGCTTGGCCCCCCGGCTCCGGAGGAAGCCCAGGCCGGGCTGGCGTGGGTCGGCCTTCCCACAACCGGCCACTCCCGGCCAGTGGCCCGCACAAGGGCAGGGCAGCCCTGCGTTGCCACCCTTGCACGCCGAGGGAGTCCCGCGGGTTCCGCTCGCATGCTGGCTGGGTCGCGGTGCGGTGGGGGCGCCGGCAGTCTCCGCGGAAGTTTGAGGGAGAACTGTGTCGCGGGCACGGACTCGCTTTGCCCCAGACAGACTGCTCCCCGAGCGTCCCCGCCAGCGGCAG